AGACGTGCACTCTTGTTGGGAGCAGGGACTGAGTCTCCCCAGACTTTGTAATGAGTGTATGTCTGAGAGGCACTGAACATGGTACTGTGATGTAACAGGCACTCAATAAATACTTGAACAAGTGAGACCTTAGCCTTCTGCTGACCCCCAGTACTCACTGTGCATGGAAATCCACAACCACTGGTGTCTCACTGTTGACGACTCGGTCTTGGAAGTCAGGTCCATCCTGGATGTTAAAGGTTGTTGAAAGGACTCTGGTGGTACATATTGTCCGGGCTGGGCTGGGAGTTATTGTCAGGCCACCAGGACTGCACTGTGGAGTCTGAAGGGCCCCAGAGGTGAGGGGTGGCCACTGACCCTGAGGGGGCTTCCTGGAGATGACAGAGGCCAGAAACCTCCTCAGGAGAATTCGCTGAGCCATCTGTAAAGGAAAGAAGCAAAAAGAGTTGGAGCACACAACAGGAAGTGAACGCAATAGAAAAAAAAAGGGATATGGGAGTACTGAGGGCCTCAAGTTAGAAGCAAAATGCAAGGAAATAATATAAGATTTGTGGAGTAGAGGTGAAGAAGGAAAAAGTCAAAGGAAAGAAGGAATGGGTAGGCAAACCAGGACAAGAAAACTGGGTTGACAACCAAAGAGAAATCAGTATTTAGGTGGCATTATAACATAAGAATGGGAAGGAGGAACCAATATTTATCAAGCAGCTCCTACGGGACAACTGCCTTACATATATTATCGGTCCTCCCAGATCAACTTTAAGGAAGTTGCTATAGTATTGCCCATATTACAGACAAAAAGAATCCGAGGCTCAAGTAAGTTAAGTAACATGCCCCAAGTAACCCAACTATTAAATGACAGCCAACATTGGAACCCAAAGCTGTCTGCACAGTCCGTATTCCATCGACTGCTTATTTTGAAAAGTGTTTTAATTGGAGATTAAGGAGGAAAAAATGGGGTTGTCGAAGGATCAGGAAAGGGTAACCGCAACAATTCTAGGAGGAACTAAGAGGCACAGGAACAAGAGTATGGGGGAACCAAAAAAAAGGGACGTATGTGCGGAGGGAACTGGGGAAGTCGGCCGCCACCAGGGCCGCCGGCTCTCCGGTGGGCCAGGTCCCCGCCACCCGGGGCCTCCGCCCGCTAGGCCGCCAGCGTGCTAAGAACGCGCCTGCAGCGTGCCTGAGCTGCGACACCACCTCGAGCCACCCCTACGGGCCTCCTACCTCCCTGCAGCGCGAGCGGAGAGATGCACAGCCCAGCCCTCCCCGCCCGTCAAGGGCACTCTTGTCGTCGCTTCCTCAGGGAGGGCCTTTCTAACGTCACTTCCGCAGTCAGACACCCGGGAGCGCGTCTCCACCCAACTTGAGGGGCTGCTCGGATTTTCCGCCAATGGGGTTGGCAGGAAAAGGCACAGCTTAAGAGGCGGAGCCTCAGCTAGGTACCGGAAGAGATGGGCTAGCCCTCGGGGGGAGGGACCGGAAGAGGAGGGCGGGCCCTCGGGGGGGGGGAGGGACCGGAAGAGAAGGTGGAAGGAGGCGGGAACAGCAAGGGAGGGTACATAGTGAGAAAAGGGCGGTAAGGTGTAGCTTTGTAACTCAGCTGTCACTGCTCACCACTTTACCTCTTCTCCCAACGACTCCTAGAGGTACTGGAAGGTTCTTTTTTTCTCCTTTTAAGAAATGAGGCTGCTAAGCTCCTCAAAGGCAAAGTGCCTTTTAAAGGCAAAGACCCTACCTGGGAGGTAGGAGGCCAATTTGTGGGCCTTGCCTGTGTTGACCAAAAGGGAAAATAACTGAGGCAAACTTAATGTAAGTAGAGAGTTTATTTGAGCCAAGTTCGAGGACTGCTACTTGGGAGCATGGATTCAAGTTGTCCTGTGTACGTGCTTTGATTAGCAGTAGTTACAAGTGGGTTTTTAAAGGAAGAGGCAATTTCTAAATTGTTTACCGATAATTTATATTAAAATACCATAAGCTATTGATTGGCTCTACATTGTTCTTTGTATCAGAAATTCCAGGAACCTGAGGATAATGGGTGAGGCAGCTAGTTAGGAACAAAATGAGTTTAAACAAGTGCCCCTGGGCATGTGTTCAGGGGGCGAAGTCCCATACTTGTCTCTCTGGGCCTGATAAATTTTGCTCACATAGCTCAGACTCCTCTGACCTATTTTTCTTTTTTTTTTTTCTTATTTAATTTTAGAGACAGTGGACAGATCAGACATCACTGCGACCTCTAATTCCTAAGCTCAAGTGATCCTTCTGCTTCAGCCTCCCAAGTAGCGGGGACTACGGTACAAGCATACACCACCACACCCAGCTAATTTTTAAAAATTTTTGGAGAGATAGGGTCTCTCTATGTTGTCCAAGCTGGTCTCAAACTCCTGGTCCCAAGTGATCCTCCCGCTTCAGCCTCTCAAGGTGCTGGGATGACAGGCATGAGCTACCACACCTGGCTATTTTTCTTTTCTTATCTGTTAGAGTATGACCTCCTGGTTTCCAGCCAATCACTTTGCCTCTGGAGACTCCAGTTTCCCATTATGTGACAAGAAAGGGTGGGCTCCTAGTGCCCCAGGCCCTTTAAGCTTGTCTCTTGGGAGCTGTTGAGGAACTGGGCCCCAGGTAAAATGTGGTGACCTGTGCACCTGCTTGGACCTGGGGTCTTTGGCAAGGGCAGCAAAGTTACAGCCAGCTTGTTACTTGTTACAGTCAGTGAAGTTAAAGTTAGTGTTGTTACTTGTCCAAGATCTAGAAGCAGAACAGAATCCCATCTCACACGTCCATTTCAACCTGCACTCTAGCCAATGGGAATCACTTATTTCCAGAATTTGCCGACATGTCTCTCATCCCTGTATTTGCATTTGCTGCTCCCCATGACTGGAAAGTGTTTCCCTCTACTGGACATCTGAGGAAATGCTACTAGATACCAGATTAGGCTTCATCTCTGGCGACCCCTCCTCTGCGCTTCCACAGCCTCAGTGCACTTGTCAATCACCACACTGGCTGGGCGCCGTGGCTCATGCCTGTAATCCTAGAACATCTAGGAGGCCGAGGCAGGAGGATCCCCGAAGCTCAGGAGTTTGAGACCAGTCTGAGCAAGAGTGAGACCCCCATCTCCACCAAAAAGAAAGAAAAAAAACCCAGCTGGGCATTGCAGTGTGAGCCTGTAGTCCCAGCTACTTGGGATGCTGAGGCAGAAGGCTTGCTTAGAGGAGTTGGAGGTTGCAGTGAGCTACAGTAATGCCATTGCACTCCACCCAGGGTGACAGAGTGAGACTCTGTCTCAACAAAGAAGGCCACTGAACACCCCTCCTCACGACACCCCCACCTTAAAAAAAAATGAAAAAAAATCACCAAACTCAATACTCTGTATTGTTTTTCTTTCTTCTCCTTTTTCTTCTGTTCTCCTTCCCTCCCTTCCTCTTCTCTCCCCTCTGCCCAGGCTGATCTTGACCTCCTGGTTTCAAGTTGTCCTCCCCCCTCAGCCACTGTGCCTGGCTTTATTCTCTGTTTATTCCTCCTCACTCTTCACTATACTGTCAACCCCTGAGGGTCCATCTGCCTCTCCACTGCTTAACCTCAGGGCTTGACACATCATAGAAGATGCTCGCAATTATTTGTTCCCTGGACACAGAGCAGTGATCCAAATGGAAACTTCTAACTCCAAATTCCATTTTCCCCATCATATTACATGGCCCCATTGTGCCCTTCCAAAATAATTGCCACATCTTTTTCCAGCTCATCTTGGCCGCATCATGCTGTCATTTGTCCTCTGTCCAATTGGCAGGTCCACAGCACTGTGCAGGACTCTTCCTTTGGGGATGGGGTGAGGAAATCCTTGGAACAGGTTCTGGCCCCCAGTCGCCATGTCAGCCTTCACCTTAATAGAGTCCCTTGTCCGTCACAGGCAGAGCCTAGGTAAGTGCGTAGGCAGGCATGGCCTCTCCACCCTGCCTGACCTCTTGTTTAGCCCTTGCTCCACCTAGGACTGGAGCCCTCGGTGGGCTCCACCGTCACCCTGGGTCCTCCGGAGCCTCTGTCAGTGCAGCTGTTCCTGATAATGCCAGATGCCATCTGGCAGGGCTGCTCCCACCCTGCCCGTTTTCATATCTGCTTTTCTGTGTCTCCAGCACTTTCTCTTCCACAGCCACCTATCAATTCTATTCAGCTTCACAGCATTTTCTACAGAGCCAATTCCCTGCTTAATTCACATTCTGAATCCCAGCGTAGGACCAGTTCTTTTTATCCTTATTCCATAGTCACTTCACTACTTTTGACCTCAGGATTTTCATCTAAGAAATGGCAAGAATAATGCCTTCTTCACAAAGGGCCAGTAAGGTTGCAGTAGGGACAGTCCACATTGTTGTTGGTGCTGGATGCCTCCTGCAGGGAGAGAGGCTGAGCTCTCAGCAGGCTGCAAAGGTCTCCTCAGCCATTTGGTGGCTCCTCTGTCCAGCCAGAGCTGACCTGGCCTGGCTCAGTCACAAGGCAGACTCAGGGCACAGGTGTGAGGCGAAGGGAAGGAAGCCAGGACTGCCAGCTTGGGCTTAGGGAAAAGCTTCCGCTGCCGCTCACCAATATTTATTGCAGTGTTTTTCAGACTGCAGGATGTGGCTATCGGTAGGTTTGCAAAATCGGTTTAGTGGGTTGTGATCAGCTTTTTAAAAAACAAACAGAATAGAATCGAAAATACCGGAGTGTGCTGTATGTGATGAGCCTTGTTTTGTAAAACATCTGTTGCTGTTATGTCTCTATGTCTGTGTGTCCTAGGTTGTGACATAAATGTTTTTCTTACTGTGGGTCACAGCCAAAGGGTTTGAAAGCTCCTGACATATTGAAGAATTACCAAACGCCTGGCACCATTCTAAGCACCATATGTGTATTAACTCATTAAATTCTACAACCCCACGAGGCCAGTGCTGTGAGGGCCTCTATCTTGCAGATGGGGAAACTGAGGCACATAGAGATTTAATAGCTTATCCAGGTCACCCAGGTAGTAGGAGGTAGGATCTTAAAGAGGCTGTCCTTCCCCTAGCAACGATTTGAGACCAGGGACCAGCCTGCCAGCCAGTGCAGGCTGTCGGAGGACAAGTGACAGGGCTGAAACCTGGGAGAATGCTGCTGGCTGGGTAGCAGCGGTGGTTCTCAGCAGTGGCTGCAAGCAGAGACACCCACACGGTGGCAGTGTGGTCCTCGAAGCCTCCTCTGCGGCTGGCGGGGAAGCTGGGCGCAGCCCCTCAGGTCTGCAGGGCTGGATCCTGGGGCACAGGGCTGCAGGATGGTGACTGTGGGTCCCAGGATATCATGGCTGGAGGGAGGCACCTTGAGAAAAAACCAGAGAGGAGGGAGGTCACCACCTAAACAGCTAGAGTTTCTGTCCAAGAGGTGGTGCTTCTTGTGTCTTTGTTTTCAGTTTTTGTTTTGATGACACTTTTATGATTTTTTTTTTACGCTATTATAGAACAATGAGAACTGCAACTTATGTTTCGCAATTCAAGAAGCTGGTTTCGTGTTCTGTTGTGATTCAAGTTCTCTCGTGTTCCCAGCAATTACACAATGTCCCCTTGAGTGTCGTGGCTGTGATGTAGGTGGGCATGCCACCCTCTGGCCCACCATAGTGGCAGGCCAGTGCCCTCAACAGACACAGGCAGGCTGCGGCACCGGGCTAATCTGATGTTGGAGTGAGGCTCCTCACGTGTTCCTGACCCCTCAGGACAGGTGGCTCAGATCCTGCTGGTCTGGGTAAAGCCTGCAGCTGCCAGGGGCTGGAGAGGAGGGGTAAGGGAGCCAAGATTTTGTCAAATCTTGGCTCCCTTACCCTTTAGTAGGGCTCTTCTCAAATAGGAAGCAGCTGTGGGGCACAGGAATGAGCCCTGGGCCCAGAACTGGAACTACTTCCTCACCAGGCTCTGCCCCTAACCCACTGGGCAAGCCGACAGACCTTTCTGGCATGTTCTTTGTTTGCCTGTTGCAATGTTGACTGTACAGAAGGTTAGGAACCTTCACAATAATGAAATATCTTTAGGTGTGGTGGTTCACATCTGTAATCCCAGCACTTTGGGAGGCTAAGGCAAGAGGATTGCTTGAGGCCAGGAGTTGGAAACCAGCCTGGGCAACATAGTAAGACCCCATTTCTACAAAAAATATAAAACAAACCAAAAAAAAAATAGCTGGGTGTGGTGGAGTACACCTGGATACTGTGGAGGCTGAGGCTCCACCTCCAACTGGAGGATCACTCCAGCCAGGAGTTCAAGGCTGTAGTGAGCTATGATTGGGCCATTGAACTCTGGCCTGGGTGACAGAGTGAGACTCTATCTTTAAAAAAGAAAAAAAAAGAAATACTGGCCTGCACATCTGTGGTCCTTACTATATGGCTCACACTCTTCTAGCACTTTACATATTTAAACTCATCCTCACAGTAAGTGAAATGCTATTATAAGTCCCATTTGACAGACGAAAGAAACTGGGAGCACGAGAGGGTAAATAACTTACCCTAGGTCAGGGGTAAGTGAGTTGGTGAGTTGTATAATTATTTCATTATATATTACAATGTATTTAATGATAATGATAGAAATAGACATAAAGTACACAATAAATGTGCTTGAATCATCCTGAAACCATTCCTACCCCCATTCAGTCCATGGAAAAATTATCTTCCATGAAAATTGTCCCTAGTGCCAAAAAGGTTGGGGACCACTGCCCTAGGTCATGAATCGAGCAAGTGACAGGGCTGGGACTCAAACCCAGGAAGGCTGATGCTAGAAAGTGTGCGCTTAGTAACTCCGCTCTACTGTGTCTTTAATATTATCTGTTAATAAGAGTTACTATGCGCAAACTCTTAAAGGTACTTTAATGTTTATTATAGGCTTCTTCTCTTGTGTCACTCAGGACCCTTTCATAGTGTCAGGAACCAGCTCAAACCAGCTCATGAAAAGGGACTTAGCTCATACAGCTGGCATGTTCAGGGGTGCAGCTAGCTTAGGCAAGATGGGATCCAGGGGCTCAAATTATGTTGCAGAGCTCTATGGGGCTTTCCATCACTTATTTTGGTTTTTTTTCAGCATGTTGATATCCTTCTCTATGTGTTGGGAAAGATGGCTACTGCCAGTCACAAGAAGATAAGCTTTAAGTTTACAGCCTAGAAAGAGGAGAGTCCGCCTCCCTCTCAGTGTCCATATACCAAGTCTCGGGCAAGAGTCTGATTGGCCCTGCTTGGGTCACATGTCCAGCTCTCGATCAATCACCCATTGGCCAGCCTGCATGACACGTCTGCCCCTGTGGAGGGTGGAAGTTGAGCGCATCCTCCAAAGGAAGCATGCTAATCACAAAGTGTGGATGTAATAAGGGCTCTTTTATTCAACTCCAATAATCTTTCCGTTTGTCACATAACTTCCTGATCAATCCATATCTGGAAAAGCAGGAAGCCTTTGATGCTGGAGGAGGGTCCTTTGATCATAAAAGTTGTGCTGGGCCGGCATAGCTTTGCCAGGTGAAAATCCCTTTTAGGTGCAGAGTGTTTGATCTAGGAGAGATACCCGTTCCTCGTGAGTGTGTGTGTGTGTGTGTGTGACAGCTAGCAGGCCACTTGTGGCTTTACTGAGGGAGACAAAGACAAATCAGACTACTGAGTTTCTACCAGTTAATTTCAGGCAACTGCATAACGAGTAGCGAGTCTCCAAGTGCTTTCTTCCTTTAACTTGCTCCTGCTTCTCTTCTCATTTTCCTTTTTAACTGACCCCTCAGTGTAAGCACACTAAGTGGCACAATACCATAGCCATAGTTTCCTTAGAGTTCCTTAACAGGAGTGTTCCATAATTGTCTCTGTAACATACTTCATTATCAATAATTGCTGGCCAACCACGGTGGCTCACTCCTGTAATCCTAGCACTCTGGGAGGCTGAGGTGGGTAGATCTCTCAAGGTCAGAAGTTCAAAACCAGCCTGAGCAAGAGTGAGACCCTGTCTCTACTATAAATAGAAAGAAATTAATTGGCCAACTAATATATATAGAAAAAAAAAATGAGCCGGGCATGGTGGCACATGCCTGTAGTCCCAGCTAGTCGGGAGGCTGAGGCAGGAGGATCGCTTGAGCCCAGGAGTTTGAGGTTGCTGTGAGCTAGGCTGATGCCATGGCACTCACTCTAGCCTGGGCAACAAAGAGAGACTCTGTGTCAAAACAAACAGACAAAAAAAAACAAAAACAAAAAAACAATTGCTATATAGATACCGTATCTGTTCTTACAAGTTGCCTTCACTGTAACCACCTTTATATTTTGCCCCATGGTGCCTGTCTTTGTTATCTATTGCTGTGTAACCAAGCACCACAAAACTTAGTGGCTTAGAACGACAGCAGTGGTTTATTTTGCTCACAAACCCGAAATTCAGGTAGTGTTTGGCAGTGACAGCTCCTTTCTGTCCCACATGGTGTCGGTGGGGCAGGGGGTGTCAAGTGGGGCTGGAAGATCCACTTTTGAGATGGTGCATGCGCTCAGTGGCAAGTGGTGCTGGCTGTCAGCCTGCAGCTGGGCCACGTACCCCTGTTCTCTTCTCCATGGGCTTCTCCATGGGGGCTGCCTCAGTATGGCGGGTGAGTTCCAAGAGACGTAGTGACGCTGCCAGCCTCTTAGGGCCTGTGTCCAGACTGGCCCCAGCATCACTGTCACCATATTCTTCTGGTCAAGGCAGTCCCAGCGCCCTCCCTGACCCAAGTGGAGGGGACACAGACCCCACATCTTGATAGCTGTCATAGAATTTTTGGCTGTTTTTGATCTACCACAGTGTATCATAGAGGCTTCTGGGCACCTCTTCTTTTCTTGATAGACAGACGTATTTAAAACTTCAATCTGGCTGGAGTTAAGGGGATCTTCTCATACATTTTTATAATGGCTTTATTCCTAAACTCCAATGACAGGTTATAAC